GTGCATAGCTGTATTCTGCTGCCTACTTTGATCTGTGTACAGTCTGGACTCTGTCTCCTCTCCCCCTTCACTTATGCATGTATGGGCGTGTATGAGACTGTCTGTGTGTGAGTGGCGGTAAAAATCGTCAGACAACCAAGTTCATAACAGTTGGTATCGGAGCGAGATTGGAATTGGAACACTGAGGGCTGAGTGCAAAGGGCATCTCACAGATAGAGACTAAAGAAGAAGAAGAAGAAGAAGAAGAAGAAGAAGAAGAAGATGTAAACCAGCAAGACCAATGAAAAATCGCTCTTCTCTCTCCACCTTCCTCCTCCCCCTTGTCTCCGCCAAACTCGTTCTTCTCCCAAATAATAATAATAACAATGAGTGGTAGAACCAGAATCGATATCCGAAGTTCCCTCTTACTGCCAGCACAACAATAGGTCCACCATAGCCATGGTTTCCCTCTTCACCTTCCTCTCACATGCCAAGGCTACGGCGCACTACTAAGGGCTCTGTCCTCCGGTGCAATAGACAACTCAAAGCAGCTATGGTCGCTGCTCTTCAGGCCGCCATGCCTGACTCTGCCTTGAAGCTTCCTTGGTGCGGCACTACCCCAACTGGAGCCTTCCAGATGCAGCGCCTAACAAGGTGATGAAGATGGTGTCCACCATAGCCAGGTAGGCACCTCGCCACTCTCTTGACTCGCCCCCCTTCTTCCTCCTCCTCAAGCTGGGCTGCTCGCCATAGCCAGGCTGAGTGCCCAGCTCTCCTTCGTCCTCCCAGGCAGCGCTCTGAGTCACCACCCGCTCAAGCAGCATGTTACCCAACCTTGCAAACCGCAAATGAGGAGGAGTTACTTGTACTCCGGGAGATATAGCGGCCTACTTGCCTCTTGGGCGGCGACTTCCAGGCCGCACAGCCTCCAAGCAACTGGTACCTCCTCCCTTTTGGAGGGAAACATCATTGCAAGCTCTAATATCGTCCGTACAGGCCCTCCACTCAGGCTACTTGGACTGGTACCCGCCTTCCGCTAGCCTACCACTATTGGGCCTCTAAAAATGCCAATTTTTCTCTTCTTCTGCTCGGTCTCGAGTACCCGACACATCTGATACTACCTGAGTGGTACCGGCCTACTTGCTATTTGAGTGTTTTTTCCACGCTGCAACCCTCAAAGTCACGGCCACAGGTAAGTACCGGCCCTGCGGGGCCTCAAAACGAAAAAGTACCCTTGCGGGTCACACACACACTCAGGCCGACAAGCACTCAGACAGGCACGCAAGACCAGCACTCACGCACACACACACACTTAGAAAACTCAGCAGAATGCGGGCATCTCAGCAAGGCATACATTCCAGCGGCAAAACCCAGATATCAGCAGTGTTCTCAGTCTTTGTTTTGGCGGGTCATTACAACATCTGGAATCTGAATAAGAACAGACATATGCCACTTGTCACAAATCTTGAATTCAAACTGCTAAGGGCATAAAGTGTTTAACAAAAACCAGAAGGGCCAGGACAGCTCTGCCCGTGTCAGAAAGGAGAACGATGAATAATGCAACTCCGGAGAGAGAGAGAGAGAG